GGTTTTTTGTAAGTTTGAGTTTTATTCATAAATGATATGGCATTTTTATCTACGGCGTCATCGACTGTGGGAATCCATTCGCCGGAGTCTGGAATCGGTGGTGAGGAATGTTTTCAAGGAAATTATAGTAGTTATTAAAATGTAAGAGAAATTATATATTCATTTAATAAATAACGCAAATAATTAATTTTTGTTGTTTTATTTTATTTTATCTCACATACAAATTTTTTGAAAATATATATTAGGAAATATGTGCAATGATTTAACTTTTTGAGCTTCTAATCTATATTATTCAACCCTCATTAAGCCATCCACGTATGCACCCGCGTAGAACTCACTTTTTGTTTTGTTTTTTTTTTGTTTGTTCGTTTTTGGATTTATTTTTTATTATTTTTGGGTTGAGATATATTATAATAGAATAGTTTTAAGGTTCTTTAATGCATCCGCGTAGGCAACCACGTGAGACTTGTTTTTTTCGTTTTTTATTCGTTTTCGATTCATTTTTAACTATTTTGGGTTTGAACTTGTTAAGGTTTAGGGTTTATACAACTATTTTGATATTTAAAACAATAAGCCAAAAAAAAAACATAAGAACCTTATAAATAAAAAGCTCATATGATAATAACCTAAATAAAAAAATCAAAAATACATGATAGCTGCGTGGTTTAAACCCACAATCTTGCATACTTAATTAAACACCTTATACCATTTGGCTAAAGTGTATTTCATTGTTTGTGACCATCTTACCAAGACTATGTGTGTTTAAAAAATATTTTTATGATGATGACATTAATTGGTTTATGCATGAGAACAGTGGGAATTGAATCCATGTCCTTGCAGACTAAACATGGGGTCTTAAGACCACTTGGTTAAACTGATATTCTTTGTTTGTAGTCATTTTAAAAAAATTATCTACTTTAATATAAAAATGTGGGACTCACAATCTGCCTATGTGGACACCTTAAGGAGTCTTTAAACTGTATCATTATAATATAGATTACTAGATTAATTTGAGTCGTTTTAGTAAACTTCCCTAAATATCTTTATAAGATTATTTTAAAGAGAGAACAATAGTAAGAAAAAAATTAGATTGGAGTGACAGGGATGTCACATCTGTAACAGTGAGATGAATAGCAGTCGTTGCACTTGTAGTAATTTATCAGTACATTAAATAGTCATACTCATATTTATTTCGTGGGTCATTCAATTGAAATTTGTCATTAGAAAAAAAAAAAAGAACACATTTATCTCCAATGTAAATACAAAACGAAAAACCTAAATTATCTTCACAAAAGAAAAATTTAACCAAAACTTTGAAACAATTGTACAATAGCCCCCACAAGACATGTGAAATTGGCTACCATTTACTAAAACAGTCATCCAAGTATTGAAACAGTGAGCCCATCACAAGAGCGATTTCAGAAATGATAGCTGAACACATTTGGTTAAACACTGTCAATTCAACTTTAAACCAATATTGATTGTACATTACAAAAATGTTGCACTAATTAGCTCCTTAAAAGTGGACCATTATCAAAATTCGGTATCTTAGCAATATCTAGTATGATAGTATCTATAGCCACAAGGAGTCACTGGCCACCATTTAATCTGCCAGATCTTTTCATTTTGACTTTTAAAAATAATCTACATATAACGTTTGAAAAATATTGAATTTGACTTTTTAATTCAACATATAATATTCTATCATTCATGTATTTTTATATTGAAGAATAACTACTCTTAGTCTCAGAGTTTGATTGGACATCTAAACCTAACTAATCAGCGCCTAATTTTAGTCTTATTAGAGTTTGAATGTTTGGTTGGACATGATATGCAAATCATGCCTTGTAGATTTTATCATACAGTTCGACTGGACATTGCATTACATGCAATCACGCCTGTGATGCATTTCATTCACATTTTTAGGAAGACAAAAAAAACTCAAATTTATCAAAAAGAAATAAGTGAATAAGTAACATGAAAATGCAACTTGTAGTTCTTTGTCCCCCCGGTCAAATACAAAATATCTCAAACAGGAAGAGCAAATCTTTGTAACCTCATTGGATCTCTCATGTATCTATCTCTCTATATTCCCAATTCCAAAACAAATTTATCGAACCACTAAAATCAAAAAGCTTGATGTATGTTGAGGTGAAACAATTCGTTTTCTATAGGTAGTGGATAAGAAAATGATGCATGTCATATACTGTATGTTAATAGCATTTTGAGAAAATTAGGCGTATTACCAATATGATGAGAAAAAGTACTTAGTACATAAACCGGGTACAGAACAACAATACTTTCCTTGACTCAGTAACTCTCAAACTCGAATCCAATATACAAGAAAAAAAAAGAAAAATTTATTTTATGAACCAGTCATTTGCATATATATATCAGTATTGTTTATTTAAATAGACTCAGTGATGTTGGAGAATCTTAAACTTACGGATATCTAGAAGCTTTTCTGATCTATTGTTTTCTAGAAGTTTTTTATTTATTTATTTTTTTAGAAGTTTTACGTGTTATTTAGTATTTTCCTTTTTATGTTTTAAGCACTCTCTATATAAGAGGGTTTTAGATATTCTATTTTAGACAATTTTATTTTTTTATTCAATAGAAGTTTTCAAACTTTTATCTTTTTTTGGTGGATTCTAGAGCTTTATAATCAAATTCTTGTTTGAGAGCTTGATTTTGATCTAAGGTTTAGTGTTTGCTAACTTTTGTGATTTCCGACTACGGCAAATGGTATCAGAGCAAGGTTTTCTTCTTCTGTTTTTGAAGCTAGATCAGCCATAGGTGATCAACCAGTAACCAAAGGCGACTTCGCGGGTTTCACAGAAGTTTTAAGAGAGGCAACCACAAACCTCACTGTTGTAACTGCTCAATTGGCAAATCTGGTAGTTGTGTTAAATAATCAGGTGGAGAAACAGACCCAATTCGAGGTCAACAAGGTAGAAACAATCGTGATGTCGTTGTTGATAATTCATGTTTAGGTGAAGGATCATAAGAATAATTAGCTAAAGGAAACCAACAAAACAATCATGATTATCGAGTAAAGGCCGATATTCCATTGTTCTATGGAACTATGGGGGAGGAGTTTCTTGATTGGCAAATTGTGTTGGTCGATTATTTGATGTCATGAGTGTTCATGAGAGTAAATAAGTTAAGATGGTAGCAATCAGACTGAAGAAAATTGTTGCAGTATGGTAGGATAAACTCGTTATCCAAAGGCAAAGACAAAGGATAGGACCCGTTAAGATTTGGCGCCGAATGAAGCAGTTAATGCTGGAACGATTCTTACCAGAAGATTACGAACAGATTCTTTACAAGATGTATCTCGATTGTGTTCAAGGGAACATAACTATGACTGAATACATCTGAGTTCTTGTGTTACTCTGAGTGCAATGAATTAGGTGAAACAGAGAATCAAAAGGTGGGTAGATACATCAGCGGTTTAAAGGGTTCCATATAGGGAAATATGGGTTTGCAAACCGTATGGACCGTGCATGAAGCTTCCAGTCTAGCATTGAAAGCTGAGTTAATGGAGAAGTCATCACGCGGGTTCTCAACATTTATAGGAAACATTGCTCAGAATAGTTTTGAACCAACAAGTGAGAAAGAAAAGAGTGTAACCAATAAAGACTCCAATCCGAGAAACAAAGAAGCTAGTGGCTCTAATACTACACAACATAACAAAGCACCAGCTCAGAGACATAACAATTCTTATTCTAAGCCTTCCATTGACAACTGTTTCCGTTGCCAAAGACATGGTCATAAATCAAATGTCTATCCAAGTCGGAAAACAGTCGCTATAATAGAAGAAGAAGGTGAAGAGGAAGAAAGGACTTTTGCTGGGAATAAAGAATATGAGGGAGTCGAATTCGCTGAAGAAGAATCTGGAGAGATAATAAACCTTGTGCTACAACGAGTCTTGTTATCATCTAAAGAGGAAGGCCAACGTAAGAATTTGTTTAAAACACATTGTTTTATTCAAAACAAGCTGTGTAATGTGATTGTGGATAATGGAAGCTCGCAGAATTTAGTTTCTCAAAATCTGGTGACGTATCTGAGGTTACCTACAACCCATCATGAGAAACTGTATGGCTTTGGTTGGGTAAAAAGAGGATCACAAATTCGAGTTAGCATGACTTGCAAAGTTATCATATCTATAGGTAAACACTATAAGAAAGAGATCACTTGTGATGTTTTTGACATTGATGAAGTATCAGCACCATACTCCTCTTTTTTTTTGAAACACCATATTCCTCTTCATCATTCCCTTTTAATTGGTTAACATTTACTAGAGAAATTACAATAATATGCCATCAGTAATTATATAATATAAGTCTATAAATAACATTAAAACACACATGAAAGTTTTTAAAGAATGATATGTATTCATACACCCACCCCCACCTCTTGCATGCATGTAACCTTATTTGATTTTTTGATTTTTTGTAAAAATATATGAACTTATTTGTTTTAACCATTAAAACGCCTGCAATATAATATGAAATAAATTTTACTGAATAATAGAACCAATGTAACATATCTATTTTTTTTTCTAATTTCATTTAAATTCTTAAAAAGAAGATCCAGTGATCTAACTTGCAGCCAAGTATGGTTATCTTAAAAAAAATCGAGTGAATATCATACACATACAGTATTTGTTTCAACAAAGGACTATTTTAGTTACCTATCACTCTTTTTTATAATTTGGAATGTTTTATAATTTAGAGTGTTCAAATACTTTTTTTTATGATAAAAGGCTGAATGTCCAAACATATCGTTCAAAATTTTTAGCGTAACGGTTTCACAATCAGATAATATAAAGTCGTATTTAATATAATATTACTAAAATATAAATAAATTATTTTTCTTTGAATTATTGTAAAAAAACGTATATATATTCTTATCCCGCCTGTGGAAGACACGGATGTTTACCTAGTGCATGTTAAAATACGATCGAAGCCACATGCAGTAAGAATATTGTTAATCTATGTCGGTTCATGCACATTTATTTTATTCGGACATTCGATATTCTGCGCATATATGCATGTAAAAGGGCTTAAGTCTATATATTAGACTTTTTTTTAAAAAGTCTATATATTAGTTTTCATTCAAACTCACCTTTCAACAAGTAATGACATAGGATGATAGGACTGAAATTAAAATTGTCGTGGCCGCACGGTTCAACATAAAAAAAAGTATATAAAGCCTCAGTGTTTTACCCTTGTGTATCAACTTGTTCTTCATTCAATGAAATATTTAAGAGGAAAAAAAAAAAGTTGTGGCCAAAAATTCATTGAACGTCGCGAGTTTTGTGAGAGTCATGCATGTTCTAAAAATTCTACAATAAACTGAAAATATTCTTCTATTACATGTCTAATAATAACTAACACACCGATTTATAAAAAAAAAAATGTAAAAAGGGGCTATTACGAAAATGACATTAACATCGAAACTGTTCATTGTCTACGTGATGACTCAAGCCAACTTTAAATCAGTTTTAGCAGCTTCATAAGAATTTACCAAAATACCCCTCTTGGTCTTCCCCTTCCTTCTTCAATTTTTCTCCACTCTGTTCATAGAAAGATCGGTCCACGGGTTACCACCACCTTCGTTACCCGCTTCACTCCTCTTTAGTCCCATACCCGGATCCCAACCCGACCCGTCTAGGATGATCCCACCAAGACCCAGCTGCATATTAGACGCCAGCAGCGAGCTAAAACTCCCACCACCACCACCACCACCCATCTCCATACCTTTCACGTCTTGCTCTCCGATCGGAAACCCGTAAAGCATCCGGGTCGGATCCGTATCCGGGTTAGGATCCGGTTCCGGGTGTTTGGTCTTTTTGTTGTGTGTGTGCGAAGGAGAAGACGAAGAAGAGGTGGATCGTTTAGCGTTCTTGCGAGTACCGCCACCGACGGGAACGTTACGGAGAGCTCCTCCTTTGGTCCAGTAACGACGGCAGCTTTTGCAAAAGTGACGGGGCTGTGACAAGTTGTAGTTGTTGTAGTAACAGAATTTTGTGTTCGGTGAGTCACAGCGAGGACACTTTAGCTGTTCTTGCTCTGGAAACTGCTGTGGTTGTTGTTGTTGTTGTTGCTGGTGATGTTGTTGTGTCGCCATCATCGACTGGTAGTAAGATGCTGGATCCTGCATTTCTTCCTTTGAATGAAACTTTATTCAAGAACCCAAATAGAAACACAGAGTTTTTTTTTCTTTAATTTAGAAAATCTTTTGGTAACAATATATGAAAACCTACAAAGGATCGAATCTTGGAGATGTGAGAGATAAAGAGAAAGTAGTTCTTGACGGATAACTAAGACAAATATAACACTCTCTTTCTCTCTCTACATATGAGAGACAGTGGCGCAGAGCAGAGAGTTGGAAGAGGGAAGAGGGAAGAGGGAAGAGGGAAGAGGGAAGAAGAAGAGTGTTGGGGAAAAAGTGCATAGGAAGACAAGACATGCTTTATGAGATGTGGTTGTGTGACCAGTCTTATAGGGCAACTTAATTACAAAGATTAGTGCTTCCGTAATCTTCTTCCTTTTGATTAGTGCTTTCAAAAAGAGAGAAATATGCTAATTATTAAATTGTCTATAGTCTAATTTTTTTTTTTTGAACACAAAGTCTATAGTCTAATTATCATTACAAATTTACAACTATATAAAGAGCGTGGGTGTTGAACCTTTTCATTGACTTGTTGACTTATTTACCTAATATCATCATCCATTTAGAGTTTTGTGGATGCCAAAAAAAATTGAGTAAATTTTAATTTTATCACAAGTTTGATATCATTTTCACAAATATCATAAATTGTTGATAGAACAACACTAAATTCTTATTTTGAATATTTGTATAACATTTATAAATCCAACCCCAACTTCTTAATATTAAATTCTAAATAATAATTATTAATATTAAATCCAAATGTTAGTATATTTTTTTATTGGTAGTATTTTTGAAAAATGGTACTTAATTTATTGTATTTTTAACAATTTCTCTAAAAAAGATTTAGAGTTGTTTTGTGTTGATGTCATCTTGTCGGAAGGATTAAAAAGAGTGTTTAGTTTAAATTTGTTTTATATGAGTTTTTCTTATATTGATAGAGACCCATACCTTTTGATTTAAAAGAAAAAACAATGTGCGGTTTTATAATTATTAACCCTATAGAGTATAGATCTAGAAATTCACAAGCATTATGAATTGTGTTCAGGGCCAGTCCTGAGATTTTGGGGGTCTGTGGCGATTTCTAAGTAAATAAAAATTTTGGGGGCCTAAAAATTTTTTTGGGGGACTATGCTCATTTAATTTTCTACAAAATTTTTGGGGGCCTGAAACAAATGTTTCGCTAGGCATTGCCCGGGGCCGGCCCTGATTGTGTTTGAGGAAAATATGGTTTAAATGTGTTTTGTATAATTCGAGGGGGGTAAAAACTGTTTCCAACATATTTGGATGCGTCTGTCTTGGTGCCATGGTAGTTGTTTTGGCTTCATATGTTTAGACCAATATCGATTCTACGTATCTTTTTGTTTTCTTTTGTTCTTACCTTTATTCTCCAAAAACAAACACAGTTGCCTTTTCCTTTTGATGGCTAAACGTCTCTCTATTCGAATCTTCAAACAAAAAAAAGTCTATCTACTTTTTCTTTTTCTGTTTTCTCATCACAAATGTTAAATGTAAACGAATAGTTCGTAACCATTTCTCTATGTAAAACTTCGTTTACAATACCTTTTATTCTCTTAGAAGAGAATTCTTTTTCTAATTCTTGATTAGAACATAATCAAGAAGACGTCAAGCAAAAGACAACAAAAACAGTTGTTCTTTCCCGCTCATTGTCACATGAGTTTTCTCATTCATGCAGTGACCTTGCATGTACACCTCAATTTCTTTTCGCTATTAAAAATAATTAATTAAACTAATCCAATTAGCTGTAAAATCAGAAGTGATTACTATCAAATAGTATATTAGTTAGCTGCATTTAAAAAAGATTGAGAAATAAATATATGAGCCATCATCATTCACTGCCATGATTTCTAAAAACCCACTCTGGCTCAAGAATCAGTAGACAATATATAACTAGCGTTCTTGTGAAGCAAGTATGTATGCACTTGATGAGATCATTACACTTAAAGTCGAATCGCAGCCGTTGAGTTTTGCACTGTAGGGACTAATGAATCAAGAGCCGTCCGTGTGTCGAGGAAGAAGACTAAGGATATTGTCGTAGCGTTAAGCTGCCGTAAGAGCTGACCATTTGGCCTTCCGTGTGTTCTGTTTTGCCAACACGTGGGGACAAACACTCCACTTCTTCTTCTTGATTCCCCCCATCATCGCGTCATTTCTACGGCTATGATTTGTGGCTGCGCACTGACGCATGGACGGTGCAGATTAAACCTGCCCCTTTAGAATATTTTCGCAACTAGACTGTTTTGGAGAGTGACAAGACGACACATGTTAACGAGTAGCTTAAATCTACAGTTACGTACTGAAAAGAGTTTCACTATAGATAATCAAAATAAGAAACACCCTCTTCGTTAATTTGATTTAGAGCCTTTGGTTGTGTGTTGTTTTGAAGGAATGTATCAACAAAAATATATGGAAAAACAAAAATATTTATAATTCCAAGAATATTTCCGAAATAAACAACTCTCACAAGAAGTTATGTGAGAGAAAACTACAATCACGATTTTTCTTCTAATCGGATTCCCTTTTTTTTTGTAGTTGATGATACAAACAAAAGCATATAAAGGACCAAGTTTTAAGCTGTAATACGAAGATGTTGTTATATGAGCATCTCCGATCGATCCTTTAGTTTCACTAGTGTAGCCAAGCTTCTTTCTCCATTTGAGTATATTCTTTTTTTCAAGCATAGTACATGTACAAACTGTTGGCAGCAGCGCAAGCTATCGAGTTCTCTGTTGGATGCCATGCGAGATGCAGTAACTTGGTTGTATGGTCAAAAGAATTACCATTCCCATCGCCTACGGGACTCTCTGCTCCTCCTGTTTTACCAATTTTGTAAAGTATTCATTCTCATATATGCTCAGTTAACTCCCTGGAGGGGGTAATGGTAAAGACAATTGGATAAAACTCACTGACCTCTTCTAACCGCACGCGTTATACTGCTCAATGATGGTCTTGACGGCTTCGCTGGAGTTGTGACTTGTCTCCTATAATTTCAAACACATATTGGGATCTGATCAGTACTTAGAACTAAGGACAAAAGAGAGTAAAACGCGTGTTGCTAATGCTAGCACCAGTTTGTTACCTCATTGGGTTTTTGCTTGCTTCCAAGGTGATAGTTTCAGTACTTCCCGGAGAAACACCAAACACACGGAAGAGATTGCTGTAAACAAAATGAAAGAGGGTCATCAAGTTTATTCCATAAGGAAATTCAAATGTAAATAGAATAAACCAAAAGAAAACGATATGCATTTACAAACATACCTGTAAGAACCGGTAGCCACTCGCAACCCGTCACCACTTAGACAACACTCGAACTTGTCGAAGATGGAATCGTTTTCATATAAATCACAGAGCTGGAAACGGTTACAAAAAAGGTAGTCATGCACCGAGTCTACTGATGCAACTCTGTGTCTCAAAGTACAGGAAACTGACCTTTGGTCTTAAATGTTCATGGACCTGGAAAGTTGATACTGGACCAGAGTCCATGTTGATGTCCCACAACTGACATGTACAATATAACCAAGATTTTAATTTTTCTTATTCAGTTAGTTTGAACTATTTGAGACAATAATGCACCAGACAAATTTAGAAAATGTATGGACCTTAAGCGTCATATAGTCACGGCTAAGTATATATCTTCCCCCTTTTGCGAATTTGATGTCTGAAATTGAAGCAATTATCTCAGTGAAAAATGATCTAGAAGTTGGTGTCTCTGTGTCCTCAAACCTGCAAAAAAAAAACAAGTAATGTTAAACCTGTGTTGCTGCATCAAGTTATAAAACAAAACAAAAAGAATTTGGTTTCTTTTAAGTTTGCACCCCGTTCACTTTATTCTAAAAGTGTTACTCTAGACATTATTACAAAAGAAGTTGAAGTAGTGGTATACTGTGTTGGTACGAGAGATGTTAGATTAGTTCAGATATTTATACATATCTAGATCCTCCTTACTATATATTTCATTACTGAGTATATCTACCAGTCTCAAGACTTACAATTTGGAATGTGAGTCGCATAAAGCTGATTGTCGCAGATCAATTAGCCGAATTGAGCCTTTCGAACTGCTATACGCTAAGGTATTACAATGTGTTGGATGAAATTCGGCTGATGTGATAACCTCTGCAACAACGAATAGAGTAAATATTGCAGCTCTAATAAACTCTCCTTCAGCTCATAATTTTATTTAAACAATCATAAAAGGGAGAGGAGAGAAAGATAATAACCAAGTTTGATATTACCATCTCGACATATTGTTTTTGTAGCATTTCGAGAAAAAAAAAAGAAAATGCAGCTCACCAGTTAAATCTTCCATATTCGCAGGCTTGACATCAACAATGTTAAAACTTTGATTGCTTATCTCCAGGTTCCAAAGATTTATACGCAAATCGTCAGCAGAAATAAATGTCTCACCGTCACTTGAAATTAAGTAGCAGCAATCACCAAGACAAGAACATGATCAGTGCAAGGACATCAACAATGTGACCAAATGGGCAGATAACCTACCTATTGTTTGAGATTGAATTGATGTGATAATCATGAGCATGAGTGTACACTCTTCGACATTTAGCCACAGGGCTAGTCTCAGTGCTAATAGTTACCTGTATGTTATTAATGAACTATTAGTCTACCCTCAGAGAAAATAAATAATTCCGCAAAAGAAGAGAAATTTGCTAACCAAAAGTAGAGAAGAACATGGAAAAAAAATATGAAACTGGGACTAAAATCTAAGTTGATGTGAGTAATTTTATTTGAGCGCACTCAATATTTGACCCTGCAAGTGAGTCAAAGAATAAACCAACCCAAAGCTTAAAGAGAGTCAGCTACCGTAGGTAATTGCAGTGATGGGATGCCTCCTGGCGGAAATGTGTAGCCATTGCTTAAATAATTGTCAGGTACTCCTCCATTAGTAAGGCATGAGTTTGTACTGTTTGAATTACTTGAGCTTCCAACACTTCCATTTCCAAGAGATCTGGAAGAATCTGTATTTATGTCACATACTTTCTTGATCTTTTTCTCTTGGACCTGTTTAAACTCCCACATAACAATAGAAAAATAATAGTGTTTTTAGATATTCAGCTTAAAAGGTAAGTGATAAACAAACACAAGGCTGCTATCAATTCATTATATGTCATTCAGAGGCCAACACATGAAAATAAAGGAATTTTTTTGCTCACCTTCCAATACTTGATGGTTTTATCATTTGTTGAAAGGAGAAAAAGAGCACCATTCGCTGTTTGAGACCATCTAATTTTGTTGATTTTCTCCTCTATCTCCAAACTCTTGAGGTAATCAAACTGGCAGACATGGAAAGGATCCAAGCATGAAATAGCCAATACAAGCTATAAACCTATGTTATAAGAAAGGAAGAAAGAAAGTGAATGACGTACCTCAGGTTCATGACTTTGAAATTCAGTTTTATAACGAAACTCCGGGTGTCTCGTTGGATAGTCCGTTCCTTCAAGATCTTTTCTAGATCCACTGGTCTGTAATTACAGCAAAACATATTCAAAACAACCTCATCTTGCATTTATAGGAGTGATGTTAGATAGCAGAGGGCAAAATACGTTTTTAGAATCCGTTCTCTCGAAAAGAACAACACGTCCACCACGGTCCCCAGTTGCAAGATGGTCACCAGATTTATCAAACTCAATCGCTGAAATTATATCAACTGCAGAGGAAACACCAGCTACACAGTTTAAGAATCTCAATTCAATTTAGATTTTGTTAAAAAAAACCGTGATTACAATGGAAGCACTTAGCAAATCTTGAAATCAACACATCTTAGTAAAACCTAGCTAGGCATTCACAAAGCATAACAGAACACTAGTTTGAACATCAAACAAACCTTGTCAGTGTATACTTAATGACTTTCTAATTAAACAATTAGACAAAACCCACTAATCATGTAAGAACCCTACAAATTTCGATCAAAGACCAAAACTTTACAATGACCCACAAAAACTAAAAACCGTAATCGCCTTATAGTCCAAGAAACCTAATAGATCTACGCGCTCAAATCATACAGATAAGATCCAATGGGAGAGCTTAAGCAGAAGAAGCAGAGATACATTGAAAAGTGAATCGACGATGGGATGGGGCTAACCTTCATGAACTTCTTCACCAGCGCTGCGTTCACCGAAAACCTGAGAGAATCTCCAATCCAAAGGCCCTGACGAAGCTATCACCTCATCACCACCCTTCATTTCTCTCCTCAGACACTCTCTAATCCAAAAAAGCGAATCAACGGAGTGATGATAGTTAGCATCAGCAAATCTGAAAGAAACGGATCAGAGATTTTCCATTAGAGCCTTGAAGATGGCGATTTCGATCGATCAATCAAGATTCACAGATTTTGACAAAGCCACACACACACACTCTCTGTTTTGTGAAAGGGCAAAATGGGAACTACGAATAAAGAGGCCGTACCGAAGCGACCATGACTCTTACCGTTGGGCTTTACGTTCTTACACGAGTTCGGGGAGTCTATGTGTAGTTAGTGTCACGTGCGGTGACGTGGAACTCTGTCAAAAAGTTATTGACTATTAGGACTCTAGTCACTAGGAGATGGTTCTCGCCTAGCTCGTCCATCTGTAAATAAAACTGATCTTATTTTCAACTGATTTATTACATTTTTAATTTTTTAGTTTAGTAATTTAACTTTTTAACTAAAAATAAATTGTAAAAATAAACACTTAACTAAACATCATACAAAACAAAATTTTAATTCTGGTTTTATTAACATCTATTACCCTTCGTCTAAAATACTATGATCTGAGATACTCCTGCCCAAAACTGTCCGGATTTGGAATTTAATATAATTTTATTTAAATTCAAAAATTTATCAAAAGACCACGGACCCAACAGAAACTTACATAATTACAACCCAACTAGGGCATTTCGCGGACCATCCAGACCATCCAGACCCGATCCATAAAATTCGGATCTATTTCTCCATAACTTCTGAAACCTTTGTAAGACTTAGTGTAATCGTAAAATTTGGTGTAACTGTGTAGTGTAATAAAACCTGAACAAATAAATACTGTCTCAGTTACAAAGTTATGCTAAATTGAACTAAATCGCACATTTAGGAGTACTCCACATTTAGATTTGCAATTTATTATTACGTTATTGTTCGGCCACATGTGTTGTTATTGATATATTTATTGAAGTTCAAATAAAAAAAATTAGTTTGAAGAAGAAATGAGGAATTACATAATGTTCATAGATAAAACTAAAGAAATAACAGAGCATATTGTGAAGAGTAATTTACATAACAACTTAGTAAAACTAGATAAAACTTCTATGTCATAAACACCCAACTAATCTTCAATGGGCCAGGCACGAGCAGTCAAGTGTATGGCATAGCAGAAATTCCAATCTGCACAATTCCAGAAACAATGATCGCATTTCCACCGTAATCTTGATCCATCTAGGGAGACTACAAACATTAAAGGGTCTAGGTTGGAGCACCAGCAAGAATGTGGCACATTAGGATCTATCCTTTCAGTCACAGATATAAACGTGGGAGGTTTTTCGTAATCCCAATTGTGTCCGATTTCCCAACCAGTGATGATTTGAAACATCTCGTCAACATGTTGACGAGTAAAAGCAGGGTAGTTGTGAACAATTCCTCTACAATCAACGCTAAAGGCTAAGTTCATCATAACATCTACAAATTGTGCCAACACGCACCCTCTCTCACCAGCACGATGTATTTTTTCTCTTCCTTCATCAAGTAAATGGAGGAAGAAGTACTCGTACATACCTCTCAGGTAGATTGCCTCAGGATTATCCAAACGGTAGCATTTAACCTTGAAAGCTCGAATAGCATTGACCTCGTTTGCCCAGTCATTGAAGAAAATGAGATCAGCCGATCTATAGAAGTGATCATCTCTTCCCACTTCATTGAACCCGGGAAAAGCAATCCTTGCACAACCAAAGTTCCGGATACCAATCATTAATACTTTACAGAGAATCTTATGAAGCATTGAAGGCGGGAGAGAAGTCAAGTTCACTTTGTCTATGTCTAACTCGAGTGTCTAACTGAGAATTATGTCTAACTCTGATAAAAGAAAACGGTTAATGGTGAGAGAAATGAGAAATCACAAGTTTGTAGAAGTCATAAACCCTTATAAATTAATGAACCACTGTGTCTATTTAAGTGTGATTTGATGGACTCCTCGAGAAGACACGACTTCTCTCAGACACGACTTCTCTCACACGCCTTCTGAATATCTACACTCGCACCTCTTGGAACTGTAACTTTGTATAAGATATATAACTATATATAAAGTAAGTGAAACTAAGATATATAACTATATAAGTAAGTGAAAGTAATTGAGTTAGATTGTTATTAACTAAGAAAAAAATCAAAATTTAGATTGCATAAATTTTTTGAAACTATGTAAAACATAGGTATAGGATATATTAAATGAAAATGGTAATATTAAGGTTAAAGAAAAACCTGTAATTATGGAGTTGGGTGATTTGATGGACTTCTCAAAAGAACACGACTTCTCTCATGAAAATGTCTAGTTTCGAAGTCTCTCTTATAATCATTACACTTTCATTTAAATGCCACAACACTACACCATCATTAAGTAGTAGATCATCATAACCATTGCATTTAAACTCCACTTCGAACCCCGAGAAAGCATAACCACTCCAACTTATCTCACACGCTTTCTGACTGCAACAATCGCCTCTCCTAAAATTTAAGATATATAAATATGTAAACGTAAGTGAAACTCGGGGAGATCACGGGCTAGATTAATGAAACTAAGAAAACATAACAATTTAGATTGTATGAAAATTTGAAACTATACAAAACTTAACGAAATTTTTGATATTATATCGTTTTATTTTTCAAAAGATGGTCAGTTTCCAAAATGGATAATAGTTAGTGAATATATTTAGAGTCCATATATTTAGTGATAGCAACTAGCAATGTAGGAGATAATAAATGAAAAGGATAATATTAATTTTGAGAAAAAGCCTCGTCGAAAGAACACGACTTCTCTTGTGAAAAAGTCTCTTTTATACGCCACATCTCTTGCATTTATAAGAATTCTGCATTTAAACACTCACCGTTACGAAATCTCCTCTCTCATCTCTTCTCTCATCTCTGCGAATACTCCATCTCTTCTCTCATCTCTCAACAAAGAAGATGGCAGAGTACAATAAGCTTTCCCAGGTTACTTTTAACCCCATGATCAGGGCTTGGCGTTTCAGAGTGCAACTACACAAGATCTACCCTTACGCGATTACCAACCATGGGACTTACTATAAGTATATCCTCGCAGATGAAGATGTAAGTGTTATATCATCATCTCTCAAGTGTGTAATAAACATGTAACCGAGAGAAATAAAAACTTGATCCTTGTAACATGTAGTAAACATGATCTTTGTACTTTATTTATGTAGGGATACAAGATGGAGATGACCACTGGTGGGGATTATCCAAATTTTAGAGGCCTTGAGAAGGAAGAGGGAAGATGGGTGGAAATCTTTGTGGTAGAAGTTGAACGGACCTACCCAGGTTTCCAGCCAACTAGCTCTCCGTTCAGACTAAATGCTACGCGTTGTACGCAAGCCCGCATCATCGAACCTCTGAACAGTCGTCTTTTCTTGGACTTCAAAAGCATCCATGAAATCCCTCGCATGCACTGGCGTGACCTCATATATCCCATAGGTATGTTGGTAATCTCAACAGTCGCATATCTTGGTTTCAGAACTTTGTATAACTCTGTAGATGTAAGTGAAACTAAGTGAAACAAACTGATTTAGTTGAGTAACACTTATATGGTAGATACAATGGAAGTGCTCTTCAACACGGAAGCCTATCTCGATGCCCCTTCAAGACCAAGGATGGAGTTTTACATAAGGGACAACATGTGAGTATAAAGTAACATATGGGAACTACGAATAAAGTAACATATGGCGATTTCGATCGATCGATCAATCAAGATTCACAGATTTTGACAAAGCCACACACACACACTCTCTGTTTTGTGAAAGGGCAAAATGGGAACTACGAATAAAGAGGCCGTACCGAAGCGACCATGACTCTTACCGTTGGGCTTTACGTTCTTACACGAGTTCGGGGAGTCTATGTGTAGTTAGTGTCACGTGCGGTGACGTGGAACTCTGTCAAAAAGTTCTTGACTAAAAGTTCTCGCCTAGCTCGTCCATCTGTAAATAAAACTGATCTTATTTTCAACTGATTTATTACATTTTTAATTTTTTAGTTTAGTAATTTAACTTTTTAACTAAAAATAAATTGTAAAAATAAACATTTAACTAAACATCATACAAAACAAATTTTTAATTCTGGTTTTATTAACATCTATTACCCATCGTCTAAAATACTATGATCTGAGATACTCCTGCCCAAAACTGTCCGGATTTGGAATTTAATATTTTAAAAGACCACGGTGTAGGAAATTCATACCGGTTTATAACGATTTATAAATCAATTTATGAATTCTATTTGCCTAGAATCTCATGCTAATACTGAAATAATCTATATCTTTAGGTTCTTTGAATATACCTGGTTATTCTGCAGCGGAAGGATGAATGAACCAAGTCGAGATTTCAAGCACTCCAAACGTCGTGCCTCTACCGGTATCCACACGCACACAAACTGGATCGATACGGGATGCTAGTGCCGTCGAGATCAAATCTCAAAATTTGACAAACTCTTTTGTCTAGGGTTTTGACTTTTACACGCCATAAAGTTTTGTGCAATCCAAAACATTAGTGACATCCTCCTTTTTATAATCAGCATTATAAACGTGATTTGGGTATTGTGGGCAAAGCCTAAATCATAAAGAGGTGCACACGTTCATTAACGTGTTACGTATGTTTTATCATATATTTATATTATATACATTATATAATATTAAATATAAAACCCAAATATATATATGAATTTATGATCCAGTTTGTTTAGGTGTGTGACCCTGTAGGATCATATAAAATTAGTAATGAATTCATAATTCATAGATTATAAGCGGTTTC